TATATATATATATATATATATATATATATATAATTATTATTATTATTATCAATGTTGAAAATAGTTGTGCTGCTTAATATTTTTGTGGAAAAAATGACATTTTTTTCAGAATTCTTTGAAGAATAGAAAGTTAAAAATATAGTATATTCTTCCCATTCACTGACACATTTAAAAACTGCACTGGCACATTTGGAAATGACAAGACACATTTTGTTCACCCGTTTTACAGCAGGTCTCATTCTTTTGTTGCGAGTGTTTGCTAAAGGGGCTCTATCCTACTTTATGCTCTAAGTAAGAGAAACACTCACAGAGAGAAGCACTTAGGACGGCAGGCCTGAAATAGAGGAGGTCTTATGTTTCAGGACAGGACACTTTACATCAATAACCCAACTGGGTGCTTTTTGTTTTTTCAAGCTGTGTGGGATATAAATAAAGATGGTGAATGTTATATTAGAAAAGCATCTGCATTCATTTTTAGTGTAACAAAACAAGCTTCCTGTTTACAAAAACACATTCTGTGAACTTCGCACTTATTTCCCGTCGCTTTTTACCCAGTGTTGGCAAAGACACACACACACACACACACACACACAGACACACACACACACACACACACACACACACACACACACACACACACACACACACGCACGCATGCCTCTTTCATGCATCCTCGCCCCCTCATCCCCAGTCTAGACACAAGCATACATCAGCAACTACTGAAATATTTAGCTGTCCATTTTTCTCTGTTCCCCCTTCCCTCACGCACACAAACTCATGGAAATGTGTGTGTGTGTGTTCAAAAAGTGACACAAACCTCTCACCATCGAAGCTACTGTCTCAGTCACCATTTCTACACATATCAGGCCAATGTCTTTGACTCACACACACATGCTAGTTAACAGATATTATTACTTTCCATTGATTACTCTGATTCATTAATAAAGCCTGAGAGCTCGAAAATGATCTTGTAGTTCCTCTGGTAGAGCGTGATTCTAACAACCACAAAGTCATTGGTTTGATTCATGTAAGTGAATCTCTCAAACCCGGTAAAGAACATGTCTGAATATATTTCAACACATAATCAAAATAATTAAATGCATATTTTACAAAAAAAAAGCTTAATGTAATAAAAAAGTTTTGTCTAATCTAACAAGAATTACGACTGATAAATACAAACATATTTATTAAATGTTGTTTAAATTGAAATATGAAAAAAATATGAAATAGGTTTTCTTTTGTGGAGGTATTATTTATTATCCATATTATTTGCTTCACTGTACTAAAGAGTGTTCTTTAGACTGTCTCGGTTTGCTTCAGTATGCTTGAGTTTTCGATGAGCTGAGAGATAACAGGAAATCTATTTGATGTGTGTGTGTGTGTGTGTCCAAGACAAGTGTGAGACAGAAATGTTATTTTAGTTTCTTAATTAACCTCCTACCTACTTAGAAATGGATTTGCATTAAATTCTTAGAAACACATCTGGAGCACATAGTTGGACACCTTAAACGGACATATATGTTCAATATGCATTTTGATTGGATGAGATCAAAGCATCCGCATTTGATGAAGGTATAAATGTTGAGTTTGTGTGTTTCCTCTTTGTCGCACTCTGCAGTCAACTCAGATGACTGTATGACTGTTGAACTTTTCTTGCAAGAAAATAAATATTCAAAAGACTTTTGTCTCATACCTTTATTGAAATTGAAAATTGCCTCAACAAAATTCAAAATCTAAACCATTTTTCTTTTTTGGATTTGGGGGAAAGTGACCTGGACAGGTTTTCTTGAAATTTACCCATATTTTATACAATACATAATTTAAAGGCTCTTTGTTGTTTTGAGGCGAACTGTGAATGAAAGTCAGTCTATTATATATTCTGTTGGTAATAGTTACTGTGGGAGCCGTGCTGAACTGGAATCAGTCAGTATATCATTTTAGACAGAGCTGACTAATGACTGATGGGATTTGGGAATTAACAGCATTAGATAATGATGCTTAAGCACAGGCAACATCAGATGCACTAACCAAACCAGACTGAGACTAATACAGCCCTTATTCATCTGAGAGAAAGAAAGAAATACAGAGAGAGCTTAATGCTACTGAACATTTAGGCAGCACTCAGGATAGGAGCCTTCACTGTGTTTATTGGACTATGTAGCCGCTCTACCGTTCCATGCAGCTTTGATTTATTACTTTAACCGTATTATAACAGAAACAGTCATACTAATAAGGAACAACTGAATTGTGAAAACAGAACAAGAGAGAGAGAAATACCTTGTAGTTTGTTCTGATAAACTGATATGGTTGTGATTATAGATCAGAATACAGTGCATTATGCAATGGACGAGTTTCCTCGGCCCATTCAGTATTAAGTTACTTTAGAAAATCTTTCTAAATGTGCCAGCAAAATATTGGCAAACATCCCTAGTTACAGTTCTCCTCCAGCAAATGACAGCCAAGCAGAAAACCAGCTCTGAAAGAAAAGCGTAAAAAGATCTCATGCACCTGGCTGATTTGTCTGTAATTGTAAAAGGATAAAATCACAGGGACTTGGGCTGATGACGTGACAGGAAGACACACCGCATGAGGCAGTCCGAATCTCTTTCCGTTTGCCCTCTTGACAGAAACGGTTGTGTGTGATGAAGTTATTTATTATGCGTGTAAACAGTCATCAGCAGAGCATGCGTGTGTGGGTGGGTAGGCGCTTTGTTGTTTTTTTGTTAGTGTTGTGATATGTGTTTATAATCAGTGCAGGGATGGCTGCGTTCAGGTGTATCCATACAAACACCCGGCTGGTGCTCTATTCGTCTGTTCACAGTTGAATGCACGCGCTCCATACAAATGCCACAAAAGTCTTTACTCACTATAAAGATGAAATGTTTAAAGTAAACTCAAACAAGAAAGTAAACACTAAAGTCAAACTATAGAAGTAATGAAAGTAAGATGGAGATCAGACAAACAACGTGCATCTGTGTGTGTGTGTGTGTGTGTGTGTGTGTGTGTGTATATATATATATATATATATACAGTGCACAGCATAAATGAGTACACCCCCTGATTAAATATAAAATATGTATTTTCTTAATAATCACTAATATAATTCATAGAAAGATGGCAAAATTAGAACGTATTAAACATATTCTTAATAAAAACAGAGAAATAGATGCCATTAATATCTGTAAAATAAGAAACTTAGCCAATTTTTGTTTAAATGAAGGATTGCAGAATTGAGTAAAACCTAGATTTAATTCAACCAAGTGTAATATTCTAGAACTTAAGTACTCTATAACTCTAAGTACACTGCTCTGACACTTCTTGGCACCAAGTTCATGACAGATTTTCACATCTGTGCTGTTTAACTCCTGGAGGACGACCTCCTTAAGTAAAATAAGAAACTTAGCCAATTTTTGTTTAAATGAAGGATTGCAGAATTGAGTAAAACCTAGATTTAATTCAACCAAGTGTAATATTCTAGAACTTAAGTACTCTATAACTCTAAGTACACTGCTCTGACACTTCTTGGCACCAAGTTCATGACAGATTTTCACATCTGTGCTGTTTAACTCCTGGAGGACGACCTCCTTAAATGCCCTGGTCTTTAATGGGGAGTGTTGCTCAGCTCGTCTCTACAGAATCTCTCACAGCAGCTCAAGAGTGTTAAGATTGAGTGAAATACATGTCCACTGAAGGACTTTCACCTTGGGAGAATGAATATCTTCATTGTCATGCTGAAAAAATTCCATCGAGATATGATTGGATATGACTGGTTATGTTCGGCTGTGATTGGTTCAAGCGATAATAAAATATATTGTTTATATTGTTACTTCCTTGAGTTATTATTTTTTTAAATAAATGTAAAGTACTTAAAAACACTAACTTGATGAGATTCATACTTGACTTTAATAAATAGAATATTGATTACATTGATAATGTAAAAATATAATATATATACAGAGGGTACGGAAAGTATTCGGACGTAATTTAATTTTTAACAATACTGAGCAAAGGGTCTGAATACTTAGGACCATGTGATATTTCAGTTTTTCTTTTTTAATAAATCTGCAAAAATGTCAACAATTCTGTGTTTTTCTGTCAATATGGGGTGCTGTGTGTACATTAATGAGGAAAAAAAATTAACTTAAATGATTTTAGCAAATGGCTGCAATATAACAAAGAGTGAAAAATTTAAGGGGGTCTGAATACTTTCCGTACCCACTGTATATATTTCTTTTTCTGATAGTGTAAGTAAAGTTTATTTAACCAAGAAAATGTGACTGTATGTACATTTGATTAAAAAAAATCTATCTATCTATATATACACATACATAGGGGTGTTTCCTCCGAGTAGGCAAGGGAGGCAGTGTCTTCTCAAAATATTGGATGAGAAAAAAACATTTGTCGTACAAAAATAAAACAATGCCAATATTACAAAATATAACATTAAAAAGTGTAGATAGATAGATAGACAGATAGATATTGAGAAAAATATAGAGATATTATTTAGCTATATTATTTATATATATAGTTGGGCAACAAATGGACTGATGTTTAAATTCTCCGCTGCAGAACGAGGTCATATCCATCCATTAATAAATAATGAAGGAGAAAACGAGAGAACAAACAGATGGGCTGAAAGGGTTGTTCGGCTGAATTGACACTTTCACAGTTCACCATGGCCCGCATCACATGACCCATATGTTTACCCATCATCCCCCTCTTCTCTCGTAGAGCACTGGAGACCAGTCTGCTCTTTGCTCTTAGAAAGAACATCATTTACTGAGTGTGTCTGTGTGTGTGTAAATGAGGGGGGTACACAGTGATATGGAGAATTGGTACATTATGTGTAAGGCGCTTAGGAGCATTTTGTACCCACAACATCAAAGCTAACTAATGAAGATTAATTTGTCCTCCTTTAATCTGGGAATTAATATAAGTGGTTTATATTTGAATTAAGCATAATTTAAAAACAGCATTATCGCTGCATCAGCAATGTCACGTTTGTCAGCACAACATGTTTGGGCAGTTGTTTTTGCATGTCTCAGATGCCTTGATCAAGTTGACCAAGTAATTTACCTTAACATCACCTGCATAACAAGAGCAAACATGACAAGAACGGCAAGTGTTTCAAGGTGTGCTTCTGTCCAAAGTATGGCATACACAGTGATATGGAGAATTGGTACATTATGTGTAAGGCGCTTAGGAGCATTTTGTACCCACAACATCAAAGCTAACTAATGAAGATTAATTTGTCCTCCTTTAATCTGGGAATTAATATAAGTGGTTTATATTTGAATTAAACATAATTTAAAAACAGCATTATCGCTGCATCAGCAATCTCACGTTTGTCAGCACAACATGTTTGGGCAGTTGTTTTTGCATGTCTCAGATGCCTTGATCAAGTTAACCAAGTAATTTACCTTAACATCACCTGCATAACAAGAGCAAACATGACAAGAACGGCAAGTGTTTCAAGGTGTGCTTCTGTCCAAAGTATGGCAGATAGGTATACACCTCACCCTCAGGCCAACCTTAGGCGTGAACACATCTGTCTGCCCAGTGTCAAATCCATCCAGCTTCAAACAGACCTGGGCTGCATTTCCCAAAAGCATCGTAAACCTAAGAAGATCATAGATCCATTGCCACCAATGGTCTCTACGATCGACTTATTTCATGATGCTTTTGAGAAACGCAGCCTTGGTGGTAAAAGAAGCATAAAGTCTGCAGTGATGAAGATTGTTCTTCTGCCTTATTCAGATCCTACATATATTGGTGAAATGCTAATTGTTTAAGAAGGAAATCCTAAATATGATATGAATATGAAAATATGAATATGATGATTCATATTTTTTCATAGTTTCAGGTTGCACATGTCTCTCTTGAGAATGGGATCCCAGTGATTTCACATTTTCATCTATGCCACACTTTGCTCATAAGTCTGCAATTATACCTCAGAGATTTCAGTATGAACTCATCAAATTTTTCCATAAACAAATGATCTTGGCTATGCTGGGCTATAATATTATAACTCTTACTGCATTTAAAAACATGTCTTATTTGTAATAGACTAGGACAAATATCTCAGACAAAGTTAAGACTATAAAAGCCTTAATTTCAATCAAGAGTTGAACCTGAGAATAGCATCAGTCTGATTTCACTGAAAAGAACTGACTCAAAAGACTGATTTGTTCAAGTTCTACAGTTCAATTTTAAACATCATGAGGTCATGAGTAAATGACAGATTTTTTTAAAGTGTCCTGAGCTATGGACGAGGAACCTCTGAGCGATAAAATATTCCTCTGGATCAGTGTGGAAAACAGCTGTGGGACTGTTTTTGTTTCATGTTTGTGGTGTTTGATGAAAAGCTGTCCTGTGTTCCAGGAATACAAGAACATTTCCAGCAGAGATCTCTCTGTATGTTTTTCTGCCTATCTCTCTTGGTTTGTTTGTTTATTTATCACCATGAGAATAAAGGAACAGGGACACACATGAGAGATACATGCAGGAGAGATTAGAAACCCTTGTGCTTGTGTGAATACCTCAGCTTGATAATATTTAACACTTGTTGGACCGGTCTAAAGTCATTTCTAAACAGGATGTGGAGAATCATTTTCTTTATCAGATATTATCACCCTCAGACAAATATGACTGGTTTATTTGATGTTAACTTGTAGAATCCACCTTTAAGTGTTTATGTAGAAATAAAATAGTTTCATTCTTGCTGTGCTGAAACAAATATTATAAGGCAATATTATGCCTTTTCAACTTGTGACGTCCTGTTCACATTCCTTTGCTTTCTGTTGTGAGATCTTGGCTGTAATATAAAAAAGGAGCTGATAGTCCAATCTAATAGTTTAGATGTATCTGTCATATCCTTTTATGGTAATGATATATTATCTGCAGGACATAAATTGGTCTGAACAGGTTTAAAATTTCATTGCTTTGTGCAACATGGAGAATGAATACTTGACCTTCTGTTTCCACACGCTAGCCTAGAGGAACATGTTTTTGCTCAGAGAGGCCTCTCAGTTATGTTTCATGTAATTATCAGCTTTGTCTCAGATGTTTCTCCTAGAATTCTTTAGGAGATCATAGGTCTTGGAAAATTAAATGAGAAATGTTCATGCCAAAATCTGACTTTTGATTACACACTATAGTTGCAAATCTAAACTTAGAGACAAAAGTCTCTAAATGTAATTGTATTACTGTCTAGCAGAAACAAAGGTATCTCATGCGTCGTTTTTCTTTCGTATGAGGACTGTTAAGGTCAATTCACACAAAAGACGCAGACCAACGCTGACAGCCAACAGAGTACAGTACATAATTTCTCAGACATTCCAAGATCCAACAAACACTGATTCAACACGTTTTATCAGTGAAAACAAGAGCAGACCAATGGCAAAAGACACCAACAGGTGTAACACACTGGTAAGACAAAACCAGGTATGGTGTGAATTGGCCTTTAAAGAGGAAGTTACTTGTCAGCGGTGTTGGGAGACAGCCAGAGACCCCCATATGCCCAAGCAAGAGCTGCCATGGCCTTGATCAGGCATTTAAAGCCCCGTTCAGACTACATGATTTTAGCCCGATTTTGCCACGATCTGCTTGACGTAGGGTGTCGTGGGGATTCGTATACGACAATGGGCGTTGGGACGCACGATTCAATCGTTTCATCTCGTGTAGTGTGTCATAGTGCACGACGCCTCTGCGATGCTTTACGACGTCAACACAGAAAAACTAGCATGTTTAATTTTTTCCCCCGTCGTACATCACAAGTTCCATTACAGTTATAACACTGGCCAATAGGAGCACAGATGCGCCTTTGTTCAAGCTTTCAAACATGCCGAAATGAAAGGGAGACAATGGTATCGGTCCTGCTAGGTGTGATTTTACAATGGAGGAAAATGTTTGTGGATCTATGGCAACAATACTCCTGTATTTATGACGAGGGACTACCGCGAGTGAAAAAAGGTAAGGGGCTACCACAGTGAAAAAAGGTAAAATAAAAACTATTTTACCTCAGTTCTCTTTTACAGTCCATAGCATCCTCTTCATGCATCCAGATTTGTGTCCATTGTCAGGTTTTCTTTCTTTTTTCTGATGACAAGACAGGGCAAAACACGCTGTTTGCTAGCAATTGTTTGTTTACGCTCATTACTCATAGCACCTTCTGTCTTGTCTCGCGCCATTGATGACAGCAGGCACGCTGTTAATGATGGCATGCGATGAATGGTCGGGTAGCATTGTATAGTCAGACATGTTTCTTGTTCACGACACAACAAGATTTTATGAATCAAAATTGCATAATCTGACAGTGATTGTCGTAACCGACAAAAATATTGTGTAGTCTGAACGGGGCGTAAAACAACTTGGTTTATAGAAGATTATCAAGCATAAACCACTTCCTCTTTCCTGTAAAAAAAAACAAACAAACCAAACCTCACATTCTTATCGTCCTCTCAATCTTGCTTTTACCTTTCCTGTTATCAGAGTGACACAAGATCTAGGGAACAATATTTAAATCCAAAATTACATTACAAACCCTTAGAACTTTCACACATGTTTTTTTTGTCCTACAGTAAAACTGAATTCCCTGGAAGCCTCACCACACACAAACCCTCTGAATAATTTAAAGCTTTCCAAATAATTTTTCATCCCAATGTTTTATTTTCAAATGGCATCTCAAACTCACATATAGGAAAACCTCCTCTTAAGAAAAGCTCTTATTGTGTAATAAAGGTAAACACCAAAAGGTAAAACATTACATCAGGGCTGAATTTAGCCATTATAAATGCTGTCCTGCAAGTCTAGAAACTTTCAAAAACAAAGTTTAATTTCTTGGAATGATGGCAGAAGACAGAAGACAAAAAGGAAAGAGGACATATAAAAAGTCATATCATGTTCATCACAATGAATCTGAACCATGACATGGCAGTTAACACTCATTCTTTTTGATGATTATTTGGCTAATGCAAGTTTGAATCAGTCTGTCATTTGTTGATCCTGTTCTCTCCATCACTTCCTGTTGTCTCGCTATCGGGCAGATTTGAATTATCTTGTCGTTCTGATGATTTTTCTCTGTATCTTTTCCTCCAGGTGAGACATTCTCTGAGATGTTCAGTCACACAGAGAGGTGTCAGACTTGCAGAGAATGCACGGGTCTTATGCGCATGCAGACCCCCTGCACCGATTCGAACGACGCTGTGTGTGTGTGCAACTATGGCTACTTCATGAGCGAACTGACAGGCCAGTGTGAGCCGTGCACTGTGTGTCCACGCGGTCAGGGTGTGCTGATGCGCTGTGAG